GGATTCCTATTACATTCAGCCATCTCAAGTCCTTGAGCTAATTTATTTAGTATTGTCTCCTGGTCAGTTTTCTAGCACAATTTATCAATCTGAGCTGAATGCTGTCACGTGCAAATCGGACTAATTAAATCAAGTTGCAAAAGATTTTTAATGCGCATTAAAACTTGACGTAAAAGTGGCGTAAGCGTTAACATTAACGTTAGCGTGACGTTAACGTAATGATTGCCATAAATTTGCATTTATGGTGAGCTGGCAAGCAATTCATTTGGTGGTCATAGAGCAAGAGAGAGATAGGCAGAGTGAGAGAGAGAGAGGAGGCAGAGTGAGAGGCAGTTCCTGCTGGACCTGACTGCTGATGCTGCGATGCTGATGCTGTCATATGACGCGTCGCATCGCGTCGTCTGCTGATGGGCGAATCGAGCGAGTCGCCTGGGCATATTAATTAAAGTGTCGCTGCTAATGAGTTAGATTAAAGTGAACAGGACGCAGCAGACACAGGCTAACTACATAGTGTGCTACGTGTATGTGGGCGTAATTGGCTGCAGCATACAATCGAAGCCAGGCTTACGTGTGTGTGCGTATAATTTGCTGGGCATTCATTATGCTTTTTATGCACGTCAGACGACGATGCCAACAACAAGGACTACACAAGGTCCTTTAATGCCCAGCGCTGCGCAGCGGAGCTTAACGTGCCTGCAATTACCAGCAGCATTTACTACAATGGCTCTGGCCCAAGCAATTTGCGTCTCTGATTTGACGCGTTAAACGCATCATAAATAAAAGATATATATATGTAAAAGATATATATATATATATATATTTTCAGCTCCCATTCAAGCGAAAAGTATGCCAACATAAATTTCATTTCGATTTGCTGCTAATTTGAACTTTTGCTTTCATGTTGAGGCCTTTCTTCGTGCGGTCTGCTTTCTGGTCTGTGAATAATTTAAATTGCAAAACTTCAGCGCAGCGAAAATCTGAATTCTTTAATAAACGTGCCTAGACGAAAGTGGCTTTATGGCCAAAGTACTATTATTATTGTTCAGCCTTAACACAATTGTGAAATGAAATCGCATTGGTTTCAATTGTAATTTCAAGCACATTAAAAATGTTAAAGAAATTCTTTCAAAATACGCTTCATCTGTGAAAAGGCTTTTGCGGCATTTCACGTGGAGCGTGGAACAATAAATCTGTTTTTCCCGCATTTTCCTGGAACATTACAAGGCCTTAAAGTCGCTCAACAGCAGCGTGTGGCCTATATATATAAAATTGACCTTAATGTAAATTTATATTTACTTTAAAGCATTTTGCTGCTGCTAGTTTGACAGTAGAAGGTTGTAATTATTTTTGCTTTAATATTAGAATTGCATTCGATATTTTCTTAACATTTTAGCGGACTTTAATGAAAACATTTTATATAATTCGCTGGGAAAGCGCAATTGTCTTAGCCATAGAGTAATCAGCAATAATTAGCGTAACAAGAGCATCTTAAAAGTACTGCGAGTCATTGAAGGGCTCATATTTCCCTTGTCACATGCACCATATTTGCACCTGTGCACGTGCATGCGATGCTTACACCTGTGTTTTATACTTTAAGCCATGCTTCAGAGTAGTAACTGTTTTTGCTACTCATAACTATGTATGTGTATCGTAGGTACTATTCTTATTTATGGCAGGTGCTTATGTTTGAACAAAATAATTACTTTAGTCTGCATATGTCTATAATCCTCTATATGCTACCTATATAATTCAGTATTCACTTTTGGGAATTTCTTTCGTCTTTTCAATTCACTTTAAGCCAGTTTTATGTGTTAGCTTTTAGCTTAATAAATATTTGCACTGGTCACATTCCAAATATAAATATCCTGTTTATATGAAATTGTTTATATTTATATGTATAACTGTATAAATGTAATACAAGCGTTAACAAATGTTATTTTTATTGCCAAAATGTTGTGTGTCATAAAGGCAGACGCGCAAACGGCAACACAGCGATAAAAAGCCATGAACTGTGCGGCATGTAAAGGCACTTTTAAATAAAAACCATATATCAGTTGGGCACCCACACACATACACACACGCACGCAGTGGGACAAAAAGTTTGTGCCGTCTGCTGCGGCTGCCACTGATAAAAAATGTTCCCCATGCAAATGCTAACTTTGTCAATTTTTATTTGTTTATTTCGTTTCAATTCCCCAGCTATGCATCTCTCTCTATCTCTATTCCTCTCTCTCGCTCTCTGTCTGCCCTTTTATAGGTATTGTAAGCACTTCCCATTTTATTTTTTTTTTGGCCTGGCCCGCATTGCGTAAAGTGCTTTATGAGCACAGACGGAAATTTGCCAAGTGCCGTTATTAATACTAATATTTTGTGTATATGTGAGTGTGTGCGTGTGCGTTTATTGTGGCATTTGGCTTTTAATGGCCCACACAATTGAGCGCTCCGAAAACTGTTGACATGACGAAAGGTTGCCAAGGATCTCCGCCAAAGCCTTTTGTAGCACTCGCAACATTTTGACTCCGCTGAATGGTCGAACATTAACTGAGCTCAGCTCCCGCCGCAACAAATGCTCAAATGCTCTCAATTTCACTTAGGCAGCTTAATTTGCAGCACGCCGCAGCAGCAAGTGGGGCGCACAGAGTTTCGGTTGCTTAATTTACCAGCAATTAACTTCTTTTCTTTTTGTAGCTCACAAAACGAAAATTGTTTCATTTGTTATAGTCCCAACAGGTTGGCCCAGTAAATAGCCAATTTAAGTTGAAAGATGAATTTTCCTGTTTGTATTTATTTTTGAAATTGAAAGAGTTTTTTGCAACTTGCTGAAATTGATTTTACATGTGTAAACATAAATGAAAATAATACAAAAAAAATTATAATATAATAATAAAAAAAAATTATAATTAAATATTAAATATTATTCCGCTTTTGCCAAGTGAAAGAAGTAACAATTTATACAGATATTGTTAAGTTTGAACTCTTTGCCTAGCTCGAGAGGCACAAGTTTTGATAATCGTAGTGCATCGTCCGTAATTATTCTCTTTACCAGTTTATTTTCGGTTTGTGTGCCTCTCTTTTGTAATATATTCTGTGTAATATTAATTGTAATTTTGTCGGTGGGCTCTTTATGAAGCACTCAAATGAAAACATATATATTTGCGGTCCTATTTAGTAGGAATAATAAAAATAGTCGCTGGCGCTGCAAGCCAACAGGCTGCGGCTCACTTTTCCATATAAATTGCACAAGAGAGTTGCAACTGCTGGCCCGCAGGCCACTAAATTGTGGCAACAGCTGCCGATGTTGCTGCTGCTGCATATTCATTTCGGCAAGCTTTGTGCAGCTTATGCCACGGCTGTGGCTGTGGCTGCAGCCGAGCTGAGGCATAGGCAGTGTCGCGCTGGCAATGGCCCTGGCCGCACGAGTCTGACTGATGGCCAGGTAAATTCCATGGCCAGCGTCAAGCTGCCTACGGATTAAGCGAAATATGCAGCAACGGGATTTCAACTGATGGACGCGATTAAAAATATGATGCGACTGCTGCACCAGCTTTAACAACAACAACAACAAACGCTGTCATTTTGTCTGCATTATGGAAAATGTCAATGCGGAAAATCCGCAACAAATGGCTTTCCTTTTATATATAATTTTTTAGTGTTGCAATGTGGCACGCAAATTAAATTGCTGCCTGCACTTTAGCTGATGCTATTAAGCTGCTTAGCTTGATCAAAAGTGCAAAGCAATTTCAATGCAAAACGCATATTTCCCGCGACGCACAAATGTATGCTACACTTTTTAATATGCAACGGAAAATATGTATAATTTATTAAATAATAATTTATATGTCAAGTGAAGCAGGCAATGGTTTTAATATGTATGATATATGACAGAATTTTAATTTAATTAATTTAAGAATATATTAAGTATATTAAGTATGCTTGATATGCGGTGCAACTAAGTGAACAAATCGACACTTTTTTCATTGTAATAATGAAGCAAAATATAAAGTTTTTATGAATAATATTATGCTATACATATGTATATAATTGTAGGTATTTATTTATATACATTTGTTATTATTAGATATGTTAGATTATTTTTGTTAGAATTCAAATGCAATTCTGAAAATAAGAATATTTATATCTATTAAAGCAGGCTCAGCTACTTCTCTGAAATCAGCTGTTTATATAGATATATGTAGACTTTAGCATAGATATGAACAGTGTCGGCTGTGTCAGCCATGCATATATATTACCTTATCGTCTCTAAAATAAGACAAATATTATTTTAAATATATATTTAAGATTCCTTCAGCTATTCGCAAGCCACTTGACACTCTAATTTGCTCGTTTTTTATAGGGTATTCAAGTGCTTGGTGCATTTAGCATTTAGAAGTTTCCGTTTTCCGTTAGCAATTTCATTACTTTAATGCGCAAGAGGCGAACAGCAGAAGCTGCATATATATATATCGGGCACGGAACTTGGGGCAGATGGGCAGCCGGAGCCGACCAAGCGAGCCGAGTCGAGCGGGCAAAGTTTTTAAATCTTTATTTATACAGCTTCCGCAGAGCATTTTGTCCTTGTTGAAAGTTTGTGGCTACCAATGTGTATTATGAGGTGGTGTGTGTGTGTGCTGTGGGTGCTTAAAAATGAAATAATTTTGACAGCCACACTTTTGCGGCTGCCAATGCAAAAAGCAGGCAACAGCATTTACAAAATGCCTTGACAAAAGTTTTGCCCAAGGGTCATACACACACACAGACACGCACACAATGCGAAGCTGTGAAAAGGGTGACTGTAAGAGGAGCTTGTTGGTCTCGTTGTATGAGTATTTGGTTGCTATAGAGCTAATGGAATTGAGTTGGAGCCAGCTCAAAGCGGATTATACTGCGCTGCATGCCAAATTGTTTAGTTTTTGCGCCAGCAACTGAAACAACTAAATGAAACTTTCGCCCCACCCCTGCCATCAATAATAACCCCTACTTGTTTCTGCTTCGATTTGCAGTGCATGCGCGCCTATGTGGACTTTGAGATAACCGAAGGCGCCTACGAGATCTCCTGCCCCGATGCCAAATGTCCCGCCCAGGGCGCCATCTCGCTGCCCGAAATCGCGAACCTAACCACAACGAACTTGCTAAAGAAACATCATCGTTATCGCCTAAACCGAGGTACGTGTCGTTGCCTAATCCCTTGCCTAATCGAAATACATTTATCAACCGCTCTGCTCTCTATTATAGAAATCGAATTGGATAAGACGCGCACCTGGTGCCCACGTGCCGGCTGCGAGACAATTTGCATGGTGGGCACAGCAACTACAGCTACAGCTACGGCTACGGCCACTGCCACGGCCACCACGGCAAATGGCACTACGACTGGGCTAGCAGGCAGCGCCATTTGCCAAATGGATGAATCGCCATCAACATCCCAGAGCTACACACCACAACAGGATAGCGCGCAACCACTGCTCTCCATATCGGTGCATTGTCCCTCCTGCAAGGATGAGTTCTGTGCTCTCTGCAAAAAGGCGGTAAGTTGGAAATAACATGGTCGAGCTTAAGCACAGCTTACGCAGAAAGGGCCAGTTCTTATGAACTTCTATCTATATCGGCTATAAAGTTCAGGCCCCAACTTGTTTGCCTTTCGTATGGCGTTTTGCATCTGACCCAATCTTGAAGCTATCAATTAATTAACGTTGCGGCTTTTACCTTTGACAGTATCATCCAAACATAAGCTGTGAGGAATTCGGACGTCGTTTGATTGCTGATGGCCAGGATGATATTGGCATACCATTCGATAACGAGCTCATCAAATGCTGCCCGATGTGCGCGGTGCCCATTGAGAAGGACGAAGGCTGTGCCCAGATGATGTGCAAGCGGTGCAAGCACGTCTTCTGCTGGTACTGTCTGGCCAGTCTCGATGTGAGTACACCACATGCATTAATTGTCAGCTGTTGTTTGTGAGGCTAATGAATGCATTCGCTTATTCGCAGGATGACTTTCTGTTGCGGCACTACGACAAGGGACCGTGCAAGAACAAATTGGGTCACTCTCGTGCCTCTGTCGTCTGGCATCGTGCTCAAGTTATTGGCATATTTGCCGGCTTTGGCATTTTGCTGCTGGTGGCATCGCCGCTGCTGCTGCTTGCTGCGCCGTGCATCATTTGCTGCAAGTGCCGCGGCTGCAGCGGCTCCAAGATTGATGAGGTGGACGCCGAGCTAGAGGAGGAGGTTACCGCACTGCAGGGCTAGCTTCTGATTGATAGTCGTTTAAAATTGTGTATAACCAACTCACTTTAGCTGTCCGCTGCCCGCTGCTCCCACTTTTCCAACAACCCGACGAGTTATATTCTTTTCTATTTTTTTTTTTATTTAACATGCGACATATATTGTTATTGACAAGCCGTTTAAATTTATTTTAATTGTATGCATTGTATAGTATGTGTTAACTAAATTGTGATATTTACAGTGATTCGATTTATAATTGAATCGAAAATTTGTTGAACCTATACAGAGAAAAAAGCGCGCCTTTGATTGATTTCTTGTTTTAGGTTTCGTGTCGATTTCTTTACATATATATACGCCGCTACCTGTGCTCGCGTATATGTATGCGTATCCGTATATATATATATATATATATATATATATGTATATGTAATGTATGTAAATCTATCTATTGTTTTATTTTTGTCCATTCAAGAAGATTGTATACATTGTGTAAGCCCAAACAACATTTTAGCGCGTAAGTTAGCCTAAATCTACTAGCCCACTCTAGCATTTTACGTATATAACTCTCATATATTTCGAAATGTGCTGCTTTTATATCAAAACCACACATACACACACATGCCCACACCCACACCCACACATACGACCTTTTTCTCAAGTATTACGGAATACCACACAAATATCGAATCCAAGTAATCAGCGTAAAATGTTAATTGATTTAAAATGTTTGTGCATCTGCTTGAAAATGCTTTTAACTACTTATATAAATAAATAAACAAAACACAAGAAAAATTAATTGAAACAACAAATTGCTGCTGAAACCTATGTACGTACATATAAGAAAAGGTTTTGATCGATGTAAATTATTAAAATACTTATTTAATGCATATATATATATAAAAAAAAAAATATATATATATATATATATATATATATATATATATATATATATATATATATATATGCGTGTATATTAAAAACAATGTTTAAATTCTACTCTTAATGTGAGCAACTACCGCGTATGCTGTTTAAAATAAAATGTTAAAAAATTAAAAATTCTGCCATTTACTCTTTGTCAGCATGTCATTTAAAAACGCGCCTTAGCTATCGAGAGTGTTATATCGATATATTTTGTTTTGGGGTGACCATGCATAGGCAATTTACGTATTCAGCGTTGTATTCTATTGTATTATCGTTTTGGTAACAAGCTGATTTCGGCGTGTGCCATTTCGAGTCATATATTTTAATGTCTTGTAATTGGCCGGCATAAGTCTTAATTTATTTAATAAATCAAAGCTAATTATAAATAAAACGACCGCAGGATGGAGGAGCAGGCCTGTCCGCGGTGCAAGACCACCAAATATCGGAATCCATCGCTGAAGCTGATGGTTAACGTTTGCGGTCACACGCTATGCGAATCTTGCGTGGATATGCTCTTCTTGAAGGGTTCAGGCGCTTGTCCGGAATGCATGGTACCCTTGCGGCGAAACAACTTTCGCGTACAGCTTTTCGAGGATCCCATGGTAGAGAAAGAGGTTGACATACGGCGGCGCATATTGCGCGACTACAACAAACGCGAAGAGGACTTTGCCACGCTGGAGGAGTACAATGATTACTTGGAGGAAATCGAGGACATTATCTATAATTTGTGCAACAACATCGAAATTATTGAGACCAATAAGCGCATCGAGGCCTACAAGCGCGACAACCGCGAGGTCATTCAGCGCAACAAGACGCGTGTCGGACGCGACGAGTGCGCCCTGGAGGAGCTGCTCGAGCTGGAGCGCGTGCAAGACGAGTCGCGCAAGAAGGAGCTCGAAGAGCTGGAAACAGAGCATAAAAAGAAAAAGGCACGTGACAAGCAGGCACTCATCGAGGAGCTCATGTACAGCGGCAAGGACGCTGCCACCATTGTCAGCGAGTTCGCTGAAAAGGCGGAAAAACAGCGCGAGGAGGAGAAGCAGCTGCCGCCACCCAAAGCCGCAAACGAATTCTCCACAGGCATTAAGTTTGGCCAGACTGCGGATCCAACATTGCTGCCAGTACCAAAATCGGAGGAAGGCCCTCTCTTTATATACGAGCCACTCATACCCATCACCGAGGGTCCCTCGCCGCCGCCAATTAACGAAGTCGAGTCCATGGGCTACGTCTCACATATACGGCCCGAGACGCCGCAGGAGAATGCTGGCGGTTTTACGGCCACATTAGCATGCCAGCGTGCCCTTCAGGAGGCGATGCAGTGCCTCTTCTATACGCCCACTGCCGGGGTGGCCGTGGGTCTTTAGCAGGACAGTGAACCAAATGTTGCAGTTAAAAACGTAGAGCAGAGCCCAGCATAGCACGCTTAAATCATTTTGTTGACAAATGTGTCAAAATAAGATATGCATTATTTCCATGTACTCTAATCCTATTTATAAAACATACTAGTTATATATATATTATACAAAATACAAGTTGCTTGCTTAGTTGACTAAATTATTCGAGCACGAAAATCGTCGCATCTGATGCCACTTTAACCAAATCATATAATTTTAATTACGCCCCTTATAATCCTCATCCCCGCCCTCCCATCCATAGTTAAATGCACCAAGCTTCACTATAATCTTTATTATTTTCGGGCAATAGATACAGTCGCTTATATTCTCTCTGAGCGTGTTTTGCATGATTTTATTACGTTAAATAATAAATAATAAATATGTAAGTATCTGCACCTCACTCAAAAATTTGTAAAAAAATTTTCTGTTCTGAAGACCGTAGTAAAAGATGAGTCACTCCTCCTCATTCTTGACTTCGGCTCCAGGTCCTTTCGCAGTCTCCTCTTCACCCAACAAGTAAATATAAAGCCATGCGAACGGAAGCAATATGGCCGCCACAATGGGCATACCCACGTAGATATAGATGTGATCAAAGTTCATAGAAAAGATAGCTGGCCAAAGCGAACGGAACGGATTCATGCAGGTGTGAGAATATTGCGCCTGGAAAATAGACAAACCATTAATTGAATATATAATAAAATAAGATATAGATATATTAACTCACTCCTACGAGAGTGGCGCCAACGACAACAAGTCCGATTTTCAGTGAGACAGATTCATTGAGTTCCTGATTGCTTTCATGCCACGATGAGCAGAAGGCCAGAACCCAAGCGCCGGTCAAATAAAATTCGATAATCAGCGCCTTCCACCATGGATCGACAGTAACCGTCGTTACACAATAATTTGTATTAGCACCAAATAATGTGTTAGATCCGAACATAACGTAAGCAATAAGAAAGCCGATGGCTGAGCCCACTAACTGCATTAGCATGTAAAGAAAACCATCCAGTACTTTGATATTCTTCAATATCATCGAGGCAATCGAGATGCACGGATTAATGTGAGCGCCGGATATGATTCGAAATGCCATCGTTCCAACAATAATTAATCCGCCCCAAGAAAACGCATATGCAAGCGAACTGCCTTGACCGAAACTGCATCCAAGGAATTGCACAAGTAGACTCGCAATCAGCTCGCACAAGAGACGTATAAATAGCTGCTTGCTCCATTTGGCCATGATTTTTTTTTATCGACGCCAAACCAAAATATTAAACGAAACGTATACAAGAGAGTATACAATTAAATAAGTATTTCTGAACACTTGAAAAATTTAGTTTATTCCGATCAAAGCACTATATAAATATGAAATGATACTCTACAGATTTTCCTCTAACTATTTTTTGACTTTGAACAGTTTCAAATGGTTGCTGTGTTTGAAAAGAACGTAGCGTATTAAAACTGTTTTGCTTTTCAAATTCGTTTTGAATATTCGTTATTTATGCTATTAAACATGGTTTTTAAATTGATTTTCGATTACTGCGTTTTTAAATTTCAACAGTTTTCCTCCAAAGTTGCTGCGATTATATGCTATATATGTTATTAGATGACTGTATTTATATGCCTCTGTTAAATATTAAAATCAAAAATTCTTAAGACTTAAAATTTAAAATTTTGAAATTTCTTTTTCATTTTTGCTGTGCTTGCGATTAATTACATTCGATTTGTTGTATTCGATCACTATAAATATCTGCTGTTTTAAGCTGACCATATCGTTCATCAAGATGGCAATGCCATTTGTGGAAGCGCTTCCCAGCACTACTCGACTCGAAACACGACTCAACCAACCACCAAAGTTTCGAAATTTTGAAATTGAATTTCAGTCCGCTGTCGTCGGTTTTGCCAAGTAAACGTGCTTCTTACTCGCGCTGTTTATACTGTTTTCTTTTCCACCCCCGCCGTCCCCTCATACTATATACGCACATATATATAAATATATATATATATATATATATATATACCCAACTAATGCATGTGTCGGCGCGCGGCATCGAAAAGTTCTATAAAAAATAATTTAAGCGTTGCCACAACTAAAATTTAAACGACACAATCAAAATCATGTTCATCTAATGCGACAACAATTGAGCAAAATTTCAGATAATTTAAGTGTTAGTGCATATTTAAAAATAAAAATATATAAATACAAAGAGTTTTAACAATAATAGAAAAATATCATCGCTGAGTGGCAACAGTTCTTTTATTTTTTTTTTTAAGATATCGATTTTCCGTTACATCGTTATACACACACTCTGACCGAGTTTACACACGCCCCTCTTTACGGCCCACCACCACAACCTCCCAAGCACAGACACATATACGCACACAGCCAGCCAGGGGCAGAGGCTGCACTCCTCACTCCTGTGTGTGTGTGCGTATGTGCAGAGTAAAAGTCAACATTGACTAATTGTTGCTTGTTGTCGAATGTGGGAAACTGTAAAATCAGAAAAGTGGGAAACTCGGGTTTGATAAAAGGTTTTTCAACTGATTTAACGCTGCATCGCATTAAGAAGCATGTTTTATTTGGCACTCATTCAATAGGGACGGACAAACATTTTAGGTGAGTGTAACGACAATCGATTGTTCATTTTAAATATATATTATATGCATTCATCTTTTATATATAACATATATATATACTGATTTATTGTTGCAATTTTCATGCGTAACTTTGGACGCTGAGCAGCAACTACAACAACGACTGTACGTCAAGTGCTGCTCAATTAGTTCAATTTATTTTTAATCCGCCAAACACACACACACACGCAAACACACACCCATACACACACACACATACACACACACTCACACACACACACACACACACACAAACACAAACACACACTCTCACTCATTTACTCCCACACACACATAAACCAAATCGCGCATTGTGCGCTTAATTTGTAATTCGCTTTTCGCTTTGTAATTCGCTTTTGCATAGACTCTTATACATGCTCTTATATTCTTCGCAGGGACACAGCTGTATATATTGGAATCATCGGTGCAATCGCAATCGCTGCATAAGTTGAGCTGAGCTTTGGTCTCCGTGCGAGTGTGCGTGTCAACATGGTAAGACAAATGCAGCTGCTATTCCAATGCACGCATACAGTGGGCGTCATAAGTTGTTTGCTGCTGTTTCTGCTGGCCCAAGCAATGGGCCAGGGCACACCGCAACAGGTGTGCCCGGAGCAGGCTGATATTTCGCCCTGTATATGCACCGTGAAAAAGAATGGACTGGATGTGTTGTGCGAGACGACGGATCTTTCGCATATTGCCAAATCCATGGGCACACTGAAGGGCAAAAGCCCGATCATATTCTATTTGAAGCTGCGACACAATAATTTGCCCAAGCTGCAGGGATTCGTGTTTCTGGCTCTGGACATACGCCATTTGACAATACACAACAGCAGCCTCGCAGCCATCGAGGAGAACGCATTAAGTTCGCTGGGTAATTTTGCAAATTAAAGACATAAATATATGCTATCAAATTTATACGTATATATGTATATTTGTTTGCAGGAAAAGGACTCACACAGTTGGATGTCTCATTAAATCAAATGAAAACGGTGCCATCGCAAGTGAGTTCATTTTGATCGTACTTAAATATCGATATGCATGCATATCTGTATGCACATCTCAATTGAATTGTAAATACAAGCGATAGGTGTGCTTATCGATAAGTGCTGATGTGTTAGGCGGCCATTTTTCGTAGCCATTTTGGCAGCTATTTTATAAATGCTTCTGCCAAGAAAAATTAAGTATACGATATGTAAGCAATATAAAAATAAAATTTTCTTGACTATACAAATAAGCTCACAAGATTCCTTTTTATTCAACTAATAAACAATTATTTTTTTACAGGCTTTGCAACATTTATATCATTTGCTGATTTTGAACTTGAATCACAATAAAATCACTGTCATACATAACAGCGCGTTCGAGGGCCTGGACACGTTAGAGATACTAACGCTCTATGAGAACAAAATAACACAGATTGATCCCGAAGCATTCCGCGGTCTAGAGAAGTAATCACACATAATAGAAATTAAGTTTTTGAGTATTAATAAAGGGGGATTTTTAGAAAATTGAAGCGCTTGAATCTGGGTGGTAATGACCTATCCAGTGTGCCACAAAAGGCTCTCTCCATATTGGATACGCTAAAGAAACTCGAGATACAGGAGAACAAGATACGTACAATCAGTGAAGGAGATTTTGAGGGTGAGTTAACTGCAAATTTTGATGATTTATATTTTATATATATTTTTTATATTTGAACCCATATCCATTGCAATTAACAGGCCTGCAGAATTTGGATTCTCTGATATTAGCACATAATATGATCACAACCGTGCCTGCAAATGTATTCACACACTTAACTCTACTTAATTCGCTGGAGCTAGAGGGCAATAAGATTAGCGTTATTGACAAAGATGCGTTTAAGGGACTGGAGGGTGAGTGTTATAAAAATCATTTAGTGCTATTTTATAATACGTATACATATATGTATATATATATGTGTATGTATATATATATGTATATATACATTCATACAGAGAATCTGCAGTATTTGCGTTTGGGCGACAATAATATAAACGCCATACCAAGTGAGGCACTGCGTCCATTGCATCGTCTACGTCATTTGGATTTGAGAAACAACAACATCAATGTGCTGGCCGATGACGCTTTTACTGGATACGGCGATTCGCTCACATTTCTCAATCTGCAGAAAAATGAGTAAAGCAATCAAAATATATCTAAAATATATGTGGAATTTATGCACAAATTAACTTTACTCCAATTTAGTATTAAAGTGCTGCCCAGTACCCTGTTCGAGAATCTCAATTCGCTGGAGACGTTGAATTTGCAAAACAATAAAATGCAACGCATTCCGCAGGACACAATGGAACCGGTGATCGATACATTGCGCATAATAGATATCACTGGCAAGTAGATGGGAAACCAATGAAGAAGAACTCTCATAATGATATGTATTGTAACTTTCATAGACAACCCATTGAACTGTTCGTGTGAGTTGATCTGGTTCCCAAAGCTGTTGGAGGATCTAAAGAACAAGGACGATGAAATGTCACAAAAGAAGAAGCCGCTGTGCCACATGTCGTTGGATAATCGCGAATATTTTGTACAAGCGATGCCCACTGAGAAGATGCACTGCGCTGGCCTCAATGTGAGTCCCTCACCCACCAGCGGCGGTCTAATGCGGATACTGCAAGTGAACATTTTGGCCCAATTGGCCATGTGTAGCGTGGCCTTTCTGAGTAGCGTTTAAATATAAATGCGAAACTCCCTAACTAAAAGCAGCATACGCAAACGTATCGTAATTGCATTCACACATTCCCCGTTTTTTGTTTTCGTTGCTCCGCTTATCCATTATGGATCATCATCAGTCCAGATCATTAGCTGAAGTGATACTTACTAAGCCCAGCCACCCCGCCCTCGAGTCCCAATCCCCCATTCCCAAATGTCCAACTTTTGTATGCCTACAAACCATTTCTGTGTTGTTGTATTGTATTTTTTATTATAGATTATAGTGAATCCGTGAATTATGCAACTCTGGCAATTGTTAGACACAATATGCACGCAACAACAACAGCAACAACAACAACTTCCCACTCAAAAACAAACAAGCTGCAATATCACCCGCAAGTGCCCCATCGAAACTGAATTACACAAAAATGCAAAAAAAAAAGCAAAAAATAACTAATAACTCAAGAAAACAAAAAACACCCACCTTGTTGAATTTTATGTCGTTTTGATGCCAATGTCATAGATCGCGCTACGAAGAGAAAATAATTTCGAAGAGAATTCATAAAGTATCCATTAAATACGCACACAGAACATTTAAGCCATTCGAACAGTAGCCCGACAAAAGAAAAAGTAAAAACAAGAAAATTAAATTAAATACAAATTGCGAGCCGATCGTTAGTTGTTAACCTATCGATAAATGTTATCGATCGGCAATCAAAACGTAGCTTAGACTTAAGAGTCAAAAAACTAAATGAACAAAATGTAAACGCAAGCATATCTGAAAACAAACAAACGTGAATTGTTACAAGTTAAGCGATATTATTATTATTATTATTATTATTATTATCATATTATTAACTATTATATTATAGAACTGTAAGAGCACATATATGTACCTATTTATTGTGCATGTCTATGTGTGTAGTACTACTATGTCGTCGTCGCTGTTGTGAGATACAATCATTATAATGAGATTTGTTATTTTATTGTTTTATCCACACATATATATATATTCTATATATGCATCGTATTACCTTTTGCTATTCAAGTTTTTTCCGCCAAGCAACATATCAAAAAAAAAAAATGAAAAAAGAAAACCTAGTCGAAATTTTTCCACTATTTGAATTATTTACCAAAGAATTACTAACTCTATATGTATATGTAAAACTATCTTATAATAATGATAATTATAACACTAATGAGAAATGGAAAATTGTACGCGTTCAAACGAAAGAAGAAGAAAATAATAATATTTGCATCAATCACCAAGAACTGATTATGAAATAAGTAGTTTGTACTCTTTATATGCAAGCATAAGCGAGCTGGCAAGAGATCAACATGAAGAGAAAGCGATAAGCGCATATACACGATATCAATTATTATATACACATATATACAAATAATCGTTATACCATATCAACCAACATATCAGAGCAAAAACACAATTTTATAGAACTACTTTTGAGCATGAGCAAGAATTTTTGATATTAAGAGAATACAATTTTTGAAATTGTTTTTTGATTTGATTTTTTGATATTAATATGTGAAACTCTATTGAATTGTATTTGATCTAAGTTATATATATATATATATATATATGTATACATGCATATACCTATTTTATATTGCCCAAACTAACGTGCGACAGTTTCGGTTGGGTCAGTTAACCAACTGGCGGACGTTATTCTACGCAAATCTTTATCAAAATCTCTATATATATATATATATATATACATATGTATATATATATATATATTTTCCCAAAAAGAAAATATTTTCAAAAGAATGCGCTGAAAATCCCAATTCGGGTCAGTTTTGGTGTTAGCTGTTCTTTTCAAAATATTTTGAAAAATTTAACAAAAAAAAATTATACAAAATTAAGTAAAAGTGAATCCATGGAGCAGTTCCATTGCCTTTGTTGTAGAACTTGGCAGAGAGAGTATTAAAGCAAACATATCCTAAGTTCTCAATGGAGCAATTATAATGAATAAAAAATCATATTGGTTACTAACACACAGATATCTTGTTTATTTAGTCATACGGCCTTAAAAAAGAGAGCCTTGGGCAAGGGGAACCCGTTAAAGGCGCTGGCTATGGGCACTGTATAGGCGCCCATATTTGGAAAACCCAGCAAATCGCCACGCTTCAAGTAGGGTAAACGTAAATTTTCAGAAATCTGAAATTGAATTGAAATATATATGTATATGTACAGATTATATGCAGAGTGAATAAAACAAACCTTGTCCAGAGCATCGCAGCTGGGGCCCCAGATTAAGCTCTTGAATGTGGGCAGATGGTCGTCAGCCTAAGATATGATATGATATGAAATATGATGAGATATTATTCCATGGTTGTTCTTACCAAATAGTGCTCCACTGTAACCGTGTGATGGTCGTAAAATACGCAATTGAAGGAGCCATAGACGCCATCGTTCAAATAGTACATAACAGTGTCCAGCTTGCCGGCGGCATTGCGCACCTCGCGCTTGGCATGAATCTTGCAGACCAGTGTATATGCCGCTGCCACAAAGAAGCGACCTGGTTCGGCGATTATCTCAATACGTTCGTCGGCAAAATACTTTTGCACTGCACTGTTCACTGTGCCAGCCAACTGTATATGCATTCAGATATATTCGATAATATTTGCAATCTATCAGACTGTACGCACCTTTATAAAGTGCTCATCATCGCTGCCTGGAAAGCCGCCGCCAATGTCCAGGAGGTGCAGATCGTAGCCCAAGAGTTGACCAAACTTGAAAAGGTTTTTTGCCTTCTTGATCGCGCGTTCATAGGCCTCCAGTTCGGAGCAGCCGGAGCCAACGTGAAAACTAGTGCCTGTTACCTGGAAGTTGAAGTAAAAATAAATTTACATTGCTGATCACGACTATATATACTTTAGGCAACATATTTACTTCAATCCTGATCAGTCTGATTATCAAATTGACAATAAATTGTCTTAGTTTTTCTATTTCTAATGCATGTTTTTATATAAAACTTTGCCTATTTCTATGTTTAAGCTACCACATATATAATCTATAACAATTTTCTGTGACTCACTGTCAAATCAAGAGATTTTGCTAGCAGCATCAGTGCTGAGGCATCAATGTCCGCATCGCAACCGAATTTATCGCCCAACGGGCATTGAGCGGCCTTTGCCTCAGACTTAAAGCGAACGATGATACTGTTAAAAAAATATATATATTTATATAAAAAGAGAGAGAGAGAGATTGAAGACAATACACACTTGGAATTGGGATAGTGTTTGTGCAGCTTGTAAATCTCAAATTCATTGTCCACGGTGCCTTTCAGCACCTTCTGCTGCTGGGCGTAGTTCAAGTGGCTGATTGGACGGCAGGGATTGGCAAAGATGATGCGATCGGGCGAGACGCCATAGTCGAGAACCTATTAAGTAATAAATCAGATTTATTAATATGAATTAGTCTATGTATAATTATAATACATATCTCAATCAATGATCATCAATTGAAATATATTATAATATAATTAAATAATAAATATGAAAACTATTTTGGTATATAAATATATCTATATATTGAGAAGCTATTTAAATATATCAGAAACATAATAAAATGATTTGTAATTAATTGAAATTAGTTTACCATAATTAATTTACTATACTCTACATATTCTATATTATCTATATTTTATACTAATTATGCAGACCAGTTTCAGTTCGTTCTTCGACGCACAATCGAAGCCCACGCCGAGGTCAGCCAAAGTTTGCACGATTCGTGGCTCATCGTTGCACTTGACTGCATAGTAGGGCTTGATGCGTGGCAGCTGCTTTTGCCACAACTCAAATTTGCGTTCCACAGTGCTCAGATCGCATATATTGAGCGCCTCATCGCAGTCTTCCAGCTGTGCCTCGGCTATAACTCGACCTATGTCTAGCTCCTTCTCATAGTAGTTGATACCCTCGGTGCACATTTTCCAATAGAACAACGAACAAGACGACGTCTAGCGGGAGACAACTGTAAATCTTAACTGATTCAAGAGACTGAGCGGTGCTCGAAATATTAGCAAAGCTTGTATACCCTGTAGGCAACGTCTAATGGGTATTATGACTTTTTTAATTGATGAATGTATATGCATAATGGTAAGGGTAAGAGTCCTTGAATCTATATAGGAATCTAATATGTATAATATGTTATATATATTCTAGCATAATTCGTATTGACTTATAGATCATCCCCTAGTCGAGCTCTCTTTAACAAAAATGTCAGCTCGTTTTCAATTTTTATATTCTTATCAGCTTATATTTGTTCTATGGCTAAGTGGAACGATTGTCTGTCGTCGATCCATTTACGAAATCGCAACAGACTTGAAAAACATTTAAAAAGGCGCGTGTCCAGTCATAGGTCGCTAGGCATAGGTAGGGAGGGGGAGGTATGTGTAGATGCGGATATAGATCCGGAACAATGTGCCACTAATTAGGAAAAGGTCAAGCAGTGACCGTTACATTTTACAATTAATGATTGTGGGCCATGTGTGTGCGTGTGTGAGTGTGTTTTCCACGTGCCAGCGAAATTATTTACAACCGACAATATTTGGGATCGTAAATAATTTTAATGCCTCGAGCATGTAAAACTAATAAAATGTAAATTTCGCACAATGGGCAGGCGAAATGAACGAAATGCGCATAATTGACACGACTCCAAGAGGCGACAAACTCAAGTGATAATACGAAAATACGAATACGAATACGAATCCCACCCTGCGGGATTTGAACCACAATGACAATAACAATAAAAATCCATGCGGCGTGTCGAACTCTCTGGCGGGGTTGAACTCTCTGGCGGCACTTGAGAGCCACCCCCTACTCAAATTGCTTGGCAATTATAAATTAAAATCAAGCACTTGAAATCGATATTTCGAATTTGGCAGTTGTCTGCCAAGTTATCGATCAATCGTTAATTGGCCAACTCATCAATATACCCTTTACCTACTCGAACGTTCACAGCGCGTAAAAAGCAAACTCTGACATCTGTCAAAGAGACAAACAGAAGAAAAAACCAACGGCAATATATGAGCGATTGTCTGTCGATCGTAGCACTCAAAAATCTATCCAGTCACGCTTTAACTGTATATTCTACTCTTCTGTATATATATCCCTTTTTCTAACTTCAAATTCAATAAAATATCATTTTTGTGGCTGCCCAGCGCAATTAGCTGCGTGTGTCATCATTCATTCATTTTTAGTTTTCAGTTCGAGTCGTGTTCTGACGCAGGTCCTGCCATGTCCTTCCACGTCCTGCCATGTCCTGCTCTTCGCGCACTTCACTTTGAGTGATGTGACAAATTGTCGGACAAGCCGCAAAGTGCTTCAAATTCAAGTTCCATTCAAGAGCTCTCTCTCTCTCTCACTCTGTGTCTCCCTTCCCCTCTCTTTCCCTTTTTTTAAGCGTAGTTGAATTGAAAAACTCGTTTTTTACATTTAACACTTAAATTGCATTTAAATCATTTCGTAAATAAGCCCACGAAATTTAAATGTAAATGTCATTAATTACTTCGCTGCAGTCGCAGTCCCTGCAGACAGCGCAGTTCCCACAGTTCCAATCTAAAGGCTCAGCTTCGCAGAAAATTAGTTTAAAATTATGTAAATTGTAGAAAAATTTATGGGTCTGCATAAATTAGCTAAGCAATGCATTAGCTTTTTTTATATATATTTATAATATTATTTAAGCTGGGGCATTGACTTTTTAAATTAAAAAAATGATCTGCAAAAGCTGATTCAGAGTTTCTAGAAGACACAATGGACAAGTTAGATAGGGAGATAGACAACTCAAATTATAAGACATCTAGAGCAGTGGCTCTATAGAGAGCACGCTGAGAAGCCTATCAACTTGACATAAATTGCTCTGACTAGAGTCTTGGGTGGCTTTGACAACACAGAGCACATTTCTGTGAAGAGAAGAAAGCGACAGAGCAGAAAGTATGAGTAAAGTCAATTTAGAGGCCATAATAGAAGAAATGTGCAAAGGCAAAGATGCTTGGCTTAAGTCTGCAACTTCTAGGAAACACAGAAAACCTGAGAGCAGTGAGTAGTACAGCACATAGAGTAGTAGTAGTAAAAATGAGTAGGTAGAGCAGATAGAAGAGCTGCACCTTGAAACTCCCGAGCTGGTAGGTAGCACAAGAGAGAGGAGGGAGGGCTCTATGCATACTGAGAAACCCATCGAAGTAGGTTAGCATTTGTGATCACAGTCAGCATCAGCATCATCATTATCACTATCATCATCACCATTGAGCTTCTTAAATATATCATACTCATTTTCATAACAATCATTGTAATCTGCATTGCATTATCATTAAAATTTGTTAAATGTGTACTAGTTTTACATATGCAAAGAGCATTCCTTAAATAATATTAAAAATAAAAAAATTAAATATTATCATGTATAAACATATTTAAATATATATGTAAAATATTTAATTTATTTTTTTTTTATTTTTATTTTATAGAGTGTTCCACAAAATCGGGTTGGTCGGCAATTCTTCTTCGGTCTCTGCACTGGGAGTGCTCTAGAAAACAAGCAGAAATCAGGACAAAGTAATTTATGGCAGCAAATTGGCGCCAGGCCACAATAAAACCACGCATCCAAGGCTAGCCTGCTCCGGCTCTCGGACGGTGGGGCCAAGGAGGCGGCTGAGTCGGGTCGAGTCGGCTTTTCGAACGCATTACCACATTAGCGCATTTGGTTGCTCGTTGCCGCCATTTGCACTCGAGGGTCCACTCGAAATGGGCCCCAAATACGAGAAATCTGCGCTCAAACAATGTCGGGGACGGGACTTATATATAGAGATTATGTTTACTGCGCCGGTGCCGACAAAAGCCTTCGGCTCTCAGCTATAAGTATGTGTGTGCCTGTGTGCGTGTGTGTTCAGCTCGTTTTGGCACTTGCAATTCCTGCTGCTCTATGAGTCATGCGACAAACACGAGCAGCTCACGTCCACCTGCGACCGCCGCCGAACCGTTCGACTGAACTCAGCCATACCACAAAGCCGGGAGAGGGTTAAACAAAACAGTTTCTACATCAGTTCCATTTTGAATTTCAGTTTGGATTTGCCGACGAACTGCAGCAGCCGCAGCCGCAGCAGCAGGAGCAGCAGCAGCATCAACATCAAGAGCAGCCGCAATCAAAATGTCGCGTGGCTCAAGTCTCTGACACATTGAACAATAGCAACAACAACAAATACAACTACAACTACAGCAACAACAACAACTCCTACAACAACAATAGACACACTCTGAGCGCTGACATGTCCCACTTGCTGAGGCGCACCAAGAAGTCCTGTCTCAAGGTGAGCCTATGCGGTCGTGGGTGGGTCGCTGTGCATAATCAATAAAAAAAACAACAAATACTAGTGACTAGAGTTGAGTGATCGACCGGTAGATACCCTGAGCCTGACTAAGTGGATGTTTGCTAAGCAAGAAGCATTGACGTAGTGTTGCCTTAGGCAAAAGCTTTGATTGCCAGAGCTGCTGAGAAGACACGGCTATGTATCCTATTTCCTACTAGTATAATATCAGATTATTTCAAAAGTGTCTCATGCTATTCAGTTTTGAGGCTCTAAATTAATGAAATTATCAACTGAAACATTTAATATTCTGCCCTGTTTATCATGCATTCAACTAAGTACCCAAAAGTAATTCTATAGTTCTCATAGTCTTCGAGTTTTCTTATATTTCAAATGACTTAAAATGGAATGTGGGAAGGGTCAATATGCGCATTGATATGCTTAATAATTATGTTAATGATATAATAGTATATGCGAGGGTAACCTGAAAACTTGTCAACTTCAATATAAAGCCAAAAGAAATTTACATTTTCAATGTTAAAATAATTCAAATTATTAAAAAAAAAGTCAAAATTATTTGACTTAAATGAATACACAAATTCTTAGACTACCCTCGGATATATATTAAAATATTTTAGAAATTTAAAGAAAGGCAATCACAGAAGCAGATAGGTAGTCACAAGCTAGCTAGATAGATTGATGATGGATAGACAGATATATGTATCTATGGAGGAGCTTATTTCTTCAAAGTGTGTGTAGGATTATAGACTACTTACTCGATTGTATATATGGGTATATTAATGGCATATTCAGAGGCAATAGATAGATAGATAAATATGTTGATATATTCAGAAAGAAAGATAGACAGATGAATAGATAGACATATTTATAGCTGGACCAATAGATGTATAGATACATATGTATAGACATACATATATAGAATTTTAAGATATTGAGATATACAGGCAGACATTAAGACAGCTAGGCAGATACATGTCTATCAACAATCCCAACTCTTTAGTAATCTTAAAAGGCCAGAGAGATAGCCACTTTTACCTTTAAGGCATCTGAAACACTTCAAAGCTAATATACCCCATTTTTTAGCTGAATGAGTAGAGCGTATAAAAATCGATAGCTGCGTGTGGCGCTGACCTTTTGGGCGACAGTAACAGCGACAGCAGTAACAGCAGCAGCAGCTAAACGCTTCTGTTAATGCGCATTAACATTGAGTTTATTTTTATGCAGCTGCTGCGCAAAATATCGACATCAAAGCAACTATTTGTGCAGCGCCTGGAGGATGAGGAGCAGGAGGAGGAGGAGGTGGAGGAGGGGGAGCAAGAGGAGCAGTGCAAGAAGGAGGGACAGCCGCACACGAGCTGCAACTGCAATCCAGTTGCCATGAATGATAAGCAATACGCATGCCACAATAATCAACCACAAAGATCCGTCCAATACCAGTGCGAAGCTGCCAGCGAGGCGTTGGTGGAGCAGCCGCAGCTGGAGAGCACGCAATCCAATCTAGATATACAATTCGATTTGATGCACTACAAGGAGAACGTGCGCTATCTAAGGCACACGCCATCCAATTCGAGTCTCGATCTGCAGCGAGACCGGGAGCTGGAGCAGCGCGGCTACAGCTTCAGCTTGGGCTCCCAGTTCGATGGGCAATATCATAACTTGATAATCAGAGAGCAGCCGCCGCACGACGATTATCCTATTGTCAAGTGGGACATCAACGGCAACTCCCTGGAGCAGGAGGAGCAGGATGAGGAGCAGCATTTCGATCTGCGACAGCATTGGGCCAACTTCGACAGCCGCTGGCGGCAGCTGCAGGCGCTGCCCAGCGGCAAGCGTCCAAGCAGCTCAAGTCATTCGCAGAGGTCGAGCCATCATTCCAGCGCCTGCACCTTGGAGACCTGGATCGATGATGCGGATGAGGCCCAAAATCTACTACAAAGCAGCCAAAAGACAAAGAAGAAGCAGCAGCAGCAAAACAACAACAACAACTATAATCAATGCCTTAAAAGTTTCTAAAGTTGGAAAAATATTAACTGAAATTTCCCTAAAATGGATTTTCACCTGTCCCCTAAAGAGTTTCCATTTTTTTCGAGAATTATACGAACTATATTGAAGCAAAGAGTGTCAAATGTTTTATTAAGAAATGGATGATAGAAGTTGAAGAAGAAGAAGTAAAGCAACACCTCGTAATGCCTTATAGAGTTTCTATAGTTCACAAATATTTACAGCATTTTTTCAAATGCTTCCAATTTTTTGTGTACAAAACATTTTTAATTCACTACGCTCGATTATAATCGCTAGCCAATTTTCATTATTTTTTTATTATATAAAAATTGGTTAGAATTACAATTTTCACAAAAAAGCCATTAAACAGAATGGGAACTCGGCGAGGCGAAGTTTGAATGCCCTAACAGCTGCGTGGCAAGTTCTAGAGGAAAAGTCATTTGGGAAAAATATTTTTCATGTTTTTTACTGATTGATTTTAGGAAATATTCCAAGAGTTATAATAGATTATTTTATATATATTAGAGAGTATTGTATAGAGAGTATATTATAGAGAGTATATGTGGAATATAATGCAGTTGACACAGCAATCCTATTGAGGCAAAGGAGACTGGGAGAATATGCGCTATAAAGTATATGGTATATATAGAGTATATAGTAAATTGAGTAATTCAAATATATATACAATACTTTCGACTAAAAATATATTTGAGAAATATGAAAATTCTTAATTTAAAAGATTTTTACTTCTGTTAAATTCATTCGAGGTATAGCCGAAAGGGCTACCTCTGCTCTGTGATCTTTTGACTATGCCTCGATTTTATTCCACATGAAGTAGGATTTTAGATAAATATAATAAAGATAGAGATATAATATAGATATATATATTTAGATAGATATAGATATAAATGGATATAGATTGATATGAATAGTGATCGTGGGCAAAGAGAGTCTGTGCAAGTGTTTGTTTCACTTGAGTATCTGAAAGAGACCCCGTTCTAGATTGTATATATAAGCATATACCTTAGCAGCTATATATTTCTATATACCTGATTTCTAACATATCATAAATATCTTCTTGGTTAGTGTATGAAAACGTAATACAACAAAGGCGACGCTCGTTTTATTCGACGTGCATTAAATGCACTTCAAACGATTTGCTCTGCGCTTTTCTTCCTCATGTTGTTGTTGTTGTTGCCTCCTGTTTGTTGTTGTTGTTGTAGATGGTCGCACGACCCGCACGTGCTGAACATGCGTGAGAATCGTCGAACCTTTGGCTTTCCCACGAGCCATTTTTCACTCGGTGGTAGCTCGGCTATCTGCAACCAGCCCTAAGGGTGAGTTGTTGCCAGCAACTATTTGGTTGCTGTTGCTGTTGCTGTTGTTGTTGCTGTTGTTGTTGTCCCACGCGCCGCTAACAACAATTACAACTCTCATATGAACTTGCTTCCTTAGTCTTTGTTGTTGTTGTCGGGAACCTGAGCGACGTGCTCTAAAAGCACTTTTCATCATTTTTATTTGCCAAACTGAAATCGATATAACGTTAGAGGTGGAGACTTCTTCTTCTCCATCAAGCATACGCCGCGTTGTGCACTTGGAAATTGGCTTCAAATTAAATGGCTCGCATGTGGCTATATTTTTTTTGATTTGTGGTGCCACAAAGTATATTTAGATCAGCTTTGCTATTAGTTTTCCCCAAGTCAAGGAGTTCAATTCTGGTAAACGAAGCAAACATAGTTTTTAGGCTAATTAACATAAAGTTTATTTTTTTGCAGTTAGATTTGCTTTTTTTTAAATTTAAGGAATTAGTGAACGTTCATTATATATTATTTGTATTTGAGTTCTCAGTAAACGGCAACAGATTTATCGAAACAGCGGCTTGAGCGGCAGAGATATTTTATCTGAGTTAATTCAGCAAACGATTTCTGATGATAGATTAAAGATAAATGTTTTAAAAAGGCTTTAAGGGAAAGAATTTTTGGTAGGTAGTTAATTATTTTTATTTAGGTAGTTTCTGCAGATTTGCATTGGAGTAACCTCAGAAAAGCTTAGCATGAAAGTCTAGCTTCAGTTCTAAATTCATCACTTCAAATCCTTCGCTAACATTTCTCGTTGGACTGTGTAATCCAGATATATAAAATAATTGTAATCAAGCTATTCCCAAGTATTTTCTATAGATTTTGATAGTTCTAAATATATTGCGCAATATTTTTCTTGGTTATTTTTTTTTAATAAATATGAAATGACAAATATTTATATGTCTGGCTGCGTATTTCTATGTAAATTACGCTCAGATCTATAAAACTATCGTAATAAAATGATTATGAAATATCCATGTTTAGACTCAAGATTTTCTCAATATTTTTGGTATCCTTTGTCTTGAACAACTTATAAATTTCTTAAGTTGCGCAATTTTATATTCATCTAAAACGCTCAGCTTCATTTTTCAAAATATTTAAAAACAAAACACTATTTCAGAGCACAAATATATTACTTATAAGAGACTTAATAATATTTTGACAGATTTCTTTACATATTGTGATGCATTTTTCTATGAAACATATTTTGCAATTTAAAAATAAATATAAATAAATAATTTAAGTAATATATGAATATTATATTTGTATGAATTATTTTCAAATATTTTTATTTCGCTTTTTAAATTACTTCAATATTTTGTACAAGTTCAGCTTAGACGCACTTCCGTAATTGAATTATTTGATATGATTTAATATTTTCTCAGCCTCCTTTGACTATAAAATAAATCGATTGTTGTTCCTCTGCGCATTGAGTAGGTCAGAGGTCAACGGCGTTGCGGCACCTGCTCCAAACTAACCTTGAAATCATAAATTGGACCACTGACCTACAAAATGCGGGCTACACACAAAGCAAACAGAGCGGGGCGGCGTTGCACTTGTTGGAGCCGCATGCCACATGCCACATGCCGCACACGAGCCCGGCGGCCGTTCGGGCTGGCGGCTCGGTCGCGGTCCAGTTGTGTGCGGCAGAGGCAGAGACAGTGGCAGAGGCAACAAGTCAACGCGCTGGCAAGTGGCCGCCAAAAAGACAATGCGACAAACTGTGGCAGACGTCGGCCACCGCCCACGGCGCCGATGCTGCGGCAGCTGTTGCCGTTGTTGTTGCTGCCGCTGCCACGCATCCTGCTGCTGCCCGATACAATCGACATTCGATGACATAAGAACTAACTAATAATAATTATTTCTGGCTTTTCATTTGCATGGCACTTGGCTAAAAGATGTTCAGGTGTTTCAGTGTAAAGTGCACGACTAGCAGCTACCCTGTAGAAAATTATTTAGAGTGGGCTTAAGAGAAAAAGGAAATAGCAGCAACTATTAGTTGCTTATAAATCAGTTTACTAACACTAGAAATTGTACAGTTATGCTAAGACTAAAAACTGATATTTATCGATTACATTTTGGTTAAAGAAATCGTGCTGAAGCTTATGTAATAGCGACTGTAATGTAATAATAGAAATCAAATTTCATTAAACACTGAATTTTATTATCAGACTAACATGTTTTTAGGCTAAAATTATTTTTGATCGATATTTATCGATTAAGTATGAGATTCCAATTGAAGTTTACTTGTTAAATTAAATTTATTCTTCTCGATTATTAGTTAAATTATAATTATAAATGTAGACCTTAGCGATAAACGAGATTAATCGATTTAAGCAGCTTAAAATATTAATATTAAAAGCTAACAGCTATAGCCACTGCTTGTTATTATGCTCAGCATTCGCTCATTAACAGGACTCCCGCTGCCTATAACTTTTAATGGGTATTAACAATATGCTGCAAGTGCGAATGCGTCAAGCAACTAAATGTTCTCTATCCCTCTCTCACTCTCTCTCTCCCACTCGTACCATGTAAGCTGCGGCGTATGCTCTTCTCCTTGTTCATTTGTTGGTCACTTGCAGAAGCTGATCGCTAGGCAGAGACTGAGGCAAAGGCGGCGGCGGCTGAGGCAGCGGCAGAGGTAGAGCCATAGAGCATAGGCCGTGGCACTGCCCGTTAGCTACCCCCAGCCGGTGCGGCACGCGTTTCACGTTGCCAAGGGGGTGGTTGCTGCGGCATCTTATTGGGCCGCTGCTGCTGTTGGCTGTTGGCTGTTGGTGCTGCTGCTGCTGCTGCCACCGCCGCCGGCAGCCGCGGCATTAAAAAGGGGTTGAGAGTAGGTTGGGCAAACGTCGGCCTGAACGTCCGCTAGTCGTGTGCTGGCAAATCAGTCGAACGCCGTTCGCGCACACGATAAGTCACGTGCTACGCACAACAACTACAACTAGCTGCGAGCCGCATCAAGTTTTTTAGTGCCAAACCAAGTTGCCAAGTGATTCCAAAGATAAAGACACACAAACAACACAAACCTCAAATCAATTCGAATTCCAATTCAATTCCAAATCAACTCTCAATCAATGGAGCACAATATGCATGTGAATGCACCGCCGCTGCATCATTGGGGCTATGGCGCTGCTGCTGCCGCCATGCCTGCCGCGCCGCAAGGTCACTGGGTGCCGCCGCCACAGAGCCACAGTCACCAGAGCCTGCAAAGCCATCAGAGCCATCAGAGTCATCAGAGCCATCATTCGCACAACAGTCTAAAGCGCGCGCTTTCCGAGAGCGACTGCGACGAGCTCTACTCGGAGGAGTCTTCCAAGGAACAGTACGTATGCGTCATGTGCTGGCCGAACTCTGTGAATTGTCTAACTGTGTCTCTTCTTCTTTCTTTTTTTATAATTAGAATCTCACCTGGTGAGACCGGCAGCTGCCAGCTGATGAGCCGCAAGAAGCGTCGCGGCGTCATCGAAAAGAAGCGCCGAGATCGCATCAACTCCTCGCTGACGGAACTGAAGCGCCTGGTCCCCTCCGCCTATGAGAAACAGGGCTCAGCTAAGCTGGAAAAGGCTGAGATCTTACAGCTAACTGTGGAACATCTGAAGAACTTGCAATCGAAAAGTAAGTATAAGATCAAAGGTGGACCAAGATTAAGATAGATTTGTCTAAATAGAAATTTCGGATGAGGCGTGGCTAGTAGAATTATTATATAGGGTAATGATCTGATGTTTGATGAATATGAACTCGAACAGTCTCATGAGATATATGAAGATTAGTTGTAGATCACGGATCTATAGAAACTCGAAAAATCTGACCAGTTATATGATGATAAATTGGAATTTATAGTTCATATATATGAACTTAAGTTGAGAAACGGTCTTCTATATATTTATTATGATATTTAGATATATGATATAAAAGAGGTACCAATGGATATATTTACTAGTTATTCGAAAATGAGACTGAGCTTATATATTACCTATAGTGTACCTATAATCAATCTGGATTCAATGTCGATTTACCACGCCCACTTTTCAGGTTTGATTAATTAATCAATCTATAAAGACTTTTATTTAGATGATGTTTTAGAAGAAATACCTAAAAAAAATTAAGTAATCTTGGTAGTAGTATATCCTCATTCAGCTGAAGTAGAAGAACTTGAATCTATGTCTCTCTTAAGACAAGTCTCTTTGAGCTAATAATGAAAAATAATAATAATAGGACTACTTCCACTAAACTAGAACCTATAATAGCCTAGTCTATAAGGCTAATGATTCACACTTTATATATAAATATTCTATTACGTTTCTTCTACAATCATCGTGTTCAAAAAATCTTCAAATATGGAGAATGTATTAGTCGATATTGCAGACTTTTTTTCTGTTACGATTATGTTGTGGGGTTTTCTAAGACTTCTTCTGCTTTAAGCACTCCATGCTGACAATACTTAAATAAAATCTGCTATATCTATATAAAACATAGTTATGAAACTGTTTCAAGAATTTGTGCAGAATTGAATGTTCTCTTATATTTAATATTTAGTTCCTTAATCAAACAGAGCCGCGCCATGCCAGATAAATTCATTTAATAACCGGCTTTTTAAGGTTATTTAGACTAAAAATACATTTTAAAATAGTGTCCTTTGCATTATCAAAAAGGTTTTAACCAGCTAACAAATTTTATCTTTATACATACGAATTTCAGATACATTTTATTTATATTTATATATTTTATTAATATTCAGATTTATCACATTTTTATATTATTTGTCTATATTATTTGCCCAGAGATTTGAGAACCACAATATCAAGTTGATAAATCCCTCCTCAAATCAAGCCAAAGATTTGTCATATATTATCATAAAGCTGGCTAAACAATGCTTAACCTGTTGACCTTAGAGACTTGCATAGGGAGACCGAGTGAATATCGAATCCAGAGACTTCCCACGCTGCGCACAGCCCGCTGCACCACCTCACTGGCACGAACCACCACCATCGCCACCCGCTCTTAGCACCAAGTGCAATTCAAGCCCCCCCCCCCACCCCACCGCAACTTTCGATTCCCATTCAGGCTATGCTCAGGGGTAGTTTTTTGCTGTCTCGCAGTTAGTTTCTGATAGGCGCGCGCGTGGGAATTGCTTTTTCAATTGTTTGCCACGAGCTGTGAGCAGCTTATTGACTTTTTACTAATGTCTCTTCTTCTGCTTGCAGCTCTCGACTCGCTCAGCTACGATCCGCAGCGCGTGGCCATGGACTATCACACGATTGGCTTCAGGGAATGCGCCGCCGAGGTGGCCCGCTACCTGGTCACCATCGAGGGCATGGACATACAGGATCCGCTCAGGCTTCGCCTCATGTCGCACCTGCAGTATTTTGCCCAGCAACGCGAAATCTCTGGCGTTGCCGCCTATCAGCCCAATTGTGCGGCCACGCCCTATCAGACAGCCTATGCAACGGCTGCCGTTGCGCCCTCTGCTGCTTCCTCGTATGTGCCCAGCCCTGGGGGCTACATGAGCGCCTCGCCACATCATGTGAGCCGCTCCAGCGTCTCGACAACGACGAGTGGTGCAACTGTCAGCGAGAGCCACACGTCAGAGGCAGCCACACAGCAACAGCAACCACAGCAGCAGCAGCAACAACAGCAGCAGCAGCAGCAGCAACAACAACAACAACATTATACTCAGGAGCACAGCGCACATGCCGAGCAGCCGCAACAGGTGCCACAATCGGTGCAACAGGTGCAGCAGCAGCAGGTGCCCACCTACATAGAGCTGACCAACAGCCATCGCAACGAGCTGCCACCCAGCGAGAGTCTGAGCTACAGTGCCACGCCCCAATATCCAGTTACTGTCAGCCAAGACTACAATGCGAGCGCCCTGCAATATGCCACAGCGAATGGAACGAAGCCCTACAGGCCCTGGGGCGCTGAAATGGCCTACTAGAGAAGAGCACCCCGAATAATTCTCAACAAATCCCCAACTTACAAGAAAATTACCAAAGAATTTCCAACAATTCTCGGATAATATCCAATATTGGAAAAGGTTTTAGAACTATTTTCAATATTTTAATATTATTAAAAATAATTTGCAATTATTGGGAATTATTTTGCATCTGTTGAATAATTCGCTGGGATTATTGGAAATACTTCCTAAATAATATCCACACACTCTAACATATTAAAACTATATCCCTTTAATTCCCAATAATTCAGAAAAATTCCCTCGTATTTCCCACAGTCTCCCAATAACAGTTGGCAATCCAGTTCTAGTCCAAGATCGATCAAAGCCGAACATGTGTGATAGTCCTTAAGTTGTGAAAATGTAGGGGGTTCTGATACCACGAGCTCCCTCCTATATGTATATAGTCTTAAATGCTTAGCATAGGTACAACTCAATTTTCTACCATTTTCTACGAAAACATTTTAAATAGTTCTTAAGGCATTTTGTAAGCCCAAAATAATGTGTAAATAAAAATAAAATATTTTTATAATGAAAAAAAATCTTATTTGATATTATTATTCCTAACAGATTGAACTGTTCGATTTAATGCGCACGCTTTTAATTGGAAATATTATGAGAAATATATATTTTCATAGATAAGCTGCGCTACATTTTTTTACCTAATTCCTAATTAACTTAAATTTATTATTAATTATAGTTAAATTATTTAGTCAAATGCAAGGAATTTACGTTACCTTTATAGCTGTCCTTTTGGCTCAACCACAAGCTGAATATCAGCTAAGTACAACCTTTCTATGTGATTCTCAAAAAATTTAAGTAAGAGCTGACATTTGATATAAATATTTTTTCATATTCTCTAAGAGTTCAAGTTGAAGAATTATATAAGATAATAGGTATAGAAGCATATAGATCAGCCTATCTCAACCCAGTTATTTAACCCACTCAGTGTGCTATATTATAATATATATATATATACATACATATTACTATGAGTAAAAGATGAAAAATCTAAAAATCAGTATGAGTACAGACAGTTCTCTCACTTCCATTTTATTTTACGCTCAACTGTTTTGAATTGTTTTAGAAAACAATTTGTTTAAATTACCAAATGGATATGTAAATCGTTTTGGTAATATTTTGTCGCATGAAACCCATTGAACTGGAAGAGATAATCGCGACTAATAAGCTCTGGCCACTGTCGGCGACCCTTTGCTTCCGCTTTCGCTGACCACTGACCGTTGGTCAAGCTGTGGGTCCAACCCTTCGGGTTTGTTTTTGGGGGTCAAGCATTGAGGGCACTGAACATCCATTTCTATTTGTGGTTTGCCACTCGGCAATTTGCATAACGACAAAACATTAACTAAAACACAAAACAAACGCAGTGAAAACCCCTAACGAATTAGTGCCACATTTTCTGAACGTAATTAGAAACAGGCTGCGCCAAGGTGTGAAGGGTCTAAGCACATAACAAACCCTAAACCAGACAAAACCCCTAAACAACCTTAAGCCATAAGCATAATCTATTTCCAACTGACTTGCTAGCTAAAGGAAAGGTAAGCGAAGAGAAAACTACCTGAATTTGAAGAAATTTAAAAAAAAGATTATAAATGAAGTAATTTAAGGAACAAATTAAATTAACAATCAAATATAAAATATATAAATAAAAAAAATAAAAAAATGCAGCTTAGAGTATAATAAGTAGAGAACATCAAACTAGAAAACGATTTTAATTAATATATATGGTAATAATTAATATATAATAATAATATGGTAATATATATGGTGGAATCAATTTCTTAATTTATTATAATTATTTTCCTTCAAGAATTGTTTTCAAATAAAAAAAAATGTTGATTCAAACAAAAAATAATTTTAATTAAATGTACAAAATATCCTAATAAGAGCAGAAATTATTATTAAATTTGATATTTTATATTTAATTTAAAATAAATAATATGCTAAATTAAATATTTTAATTTCATTGCTTTGATTTATTTGAGATATAAAAAATAAATCTCAATAGAATGCAGAAAGTATTAATTATTATATATTTTTTAAGCTTAAAATTTAAATAAATAAATTAATTTATTTGGAAAAAAATTCCCACACAAAAATTAAAGTTTAATTGAAATTACGTAATTAAATGATATCAAGCAGCAGAGACCTAAAGTACTTGCTACCAAAGGGGCACAAGGAAGAAGCCAAAAGTTCTATTCAAATAGATGTAATAAGCGTTTCCGTACCAACAACCAGCAAGGATAACAACCCCTAAGGGAAGCCTTCTGCGCCCGCTCTTGTTGTTGTTGTTGGCATTGAATTGAAACAATCTTCTGCGCATTAATTTAACACTGAAGGTTAAACATAAATGTTTTCAATATTTAACGCGTTGCCAGGGCTGAAATCTCTCGACTCTCCAGGCCAGCAAGCTCTACGTGTCATGTGAGAGTTCTGCCCGCTTCGACTTCCCACGCAGAATGCCACCCCAAAACAAAAAAAAAACAGAACGAAAATAAGTTTCAATGATTTTTACATGCATATTTTTGGGGTGTTCCCATTTGGGCAGAGATCAACGTAATATACACGTCAAAACTTCCAATTAGAGACAATCATTCGGCTACGGGACGGAAGACCTAACACATCATCGAGTCTCCGCACAAGTTGTGATTAGGGGTTGGCTCGCTCGAGTTCGCCTACAAAAACCCGAGCAAAAGCCAAAACTCAATTCATTTCTTGGATAACATTCAGCGCAACAGGACGAACACTCAGGGTGGATATACATATGTATATATATATATATAATATTAAAGGCCTCAATATGGATTTGAATTGTTTTGGTTTGTTTTATTGCGGTTCGAGTCAATTAAGTGGAATATTATGTGATTTCTTTGCTGTTTACTTTTCTTCTTTGAATGGTTTTCCGTGTTTAACCTGTCAGAAAAATTTCCATATGAGCAATATTTATAGATCGGAGTTTTATTACCACATCTGCTGAATGGACTATAAATATATGCACACATGATGTCAAACGCAAATTTATGAATTAGAATCAGAATCAGACTCGTGTCCTTTTGTCCTCTCATATGGTGCATGACCTCAATGCTTCGCTGAGCATTTGTGCTTAATCGTTGGAAAATGTTCGTTCGATCTATTTGCGATTATCGAAAGACAGTCAAATAACATGACCATCCAAATAAAAATCAAATATCAATTGAAATAAATTCAGGGAAAATTTTATGAAGATAAAGAAAATTATTTAAGCTTTAAATAATAAAAACAATTAACAACTTAATATGAATATTTAATGATTAAATAATTTTTTGAAGATTAATGAAGCAATAATTTGAGTTTATTTATAAATTAAATTGAAAATATATCAAATAATATAAATAACAACAAATGCTTGACATATAATATATATAAACAAAAATTAATCAATCTTAACAAAAACTAAAATTTAAGCCAGATCGTCTTAAATACCAGTGACAACATGGCAATATCATATAATATAAAAAATGTATGTTACTTGTAAATAGTTTTTATTATTAAAATTAATTTTTAATAAATATGTTTTGTCCTCTAATATTTTATTTACTCACATTTCTCGTTTCTGAATGTTTTTATTGGCTATTATCACATAAATACATTTGCTATAAAAGCTGCTATAACAAAATGGAGTTTGTGTGCATTGCAACTCAACAAAGATGGGCAGCACTTGTCTCAGCTGATATTGTTTTGATTTTAAACATAATTACTACATACAAGAAAACCCACACACGCACGCGTGCCTTCGCACGCACTTGTATGGCATACATGTAACATACATACACACATGTCCGCACAAGCATGCGTTTATCAGATCTCACACACACACTGACAATGATCGAAACTAATTTATTATTTGTTTGGTATTGCTTATCGCAGCAAAACGTGCGTGAAAAGTGTTTTGGTATATTTTTGTATGTTATTTATAATAAACAAATGATTTTTTACGCATTTGAAACCTGAATAGGTTTTATTTTGCTAGCGAGAGAGGCACTTGCTATAAATGTTACCATAATAATTTGGAGTTGTTTGCCTTTAAACTTAACAAGATGGGCTGCACTTGTCGCAGCTGGCGTTGCTTCGGAGTTCAAATACAAAGTGCTACTCACACATACACACACACACGCATTCAGATGACATACAAATGACACACACACATGCGCTCAGATCTCTCACTCTCACTCACACGCACACATAGATACCTATTTTGTACACAGTCAACGAAATTCGATTACTTTTTGCAGTTTATCGTTGCGAACGAGCATGAAAATTGTTTTGCTTATTCCAAGTGCTATTCAAAAACAACAAATGCCGTTACTTGCTGCCGGTCCTTATATATATAGCTTATAGTTTGTTTGTTTTTCTATACATTAAGTGTAACGCGCAACGAACGACGCTGCTCTACCAACTGCTCCACGGAACCAGCTGTAGCTCCACCATCTCCTGCTCGCTTTCTGTGATGTAATGTGATTTTCTATGTGCCTTGAGAGAAAGAAAGATGTGAAGCACAACATAAATGTGGACCCAGAGACTGACGCGAACATTGGCGCTGCGCCAAGGTGTAAAAAAAATGCGCCACGGCACAAGGCGTAAGTGAAATGCTTCAGCAAATTCAAAACAGATTACAAATTACAGATAACAGATTTCTATATTAGATTATACATGTATATGTTTCTTATTATGCATAGACATTGCTTAATGCCATGGCACCTGATTGCCAATGGTGCCTTTTTTGTAGAACTTTGCTGTGGCTGCTGCTGTTGTTGCCAGCGCCGCCGGCGTAGTTGGATTTGGTTCATAGGTCGGTCCACTGCCTTCCGCCTTAAGCACCGCTGCACATTTCCATTGACGCGTGTAGTTCATACGCCAGATTCTAACACAACCATCGTCGCCGGTGGAGATTAGCATCGTGGCCAGCATATTCCAACATACACGCCACA